AGTTGTTCGGTCAAATGTCTTGAGCTTTTTTGTGAACTTCCCATTGTTTTCTAAAGTAAGCATGATAGCAGAGTACTTGGTGATGGAGAATGAGTTGGTGTGCTATGCGTGCAGGGTCATATTTGTGAACTTTGTAGGCATGAGGCAAGTGGGCTCTTTGTTTTGGCAGAATGTGCGCTTCATTTCTTGAGCAAAAGCATTTTGCGCCCAACGACACGCACGTGATCCATATTCGCAATGTGAAGTCGTTGACCCATTGGTGGTACACCATCTCCAAGGTCCTCATGAGGTTTTGCTTCTTGGTGCTCTACATGTTGATCAATTCATTGATTCACTCACTGTTTGAACTTGATAATTATCAAGTTGTATAACCCGGTGTTGTTGTCATGATGTACTATAGGATCGAGGGTGGACCATTTGCATTCATACATTGTCATATGAAGCTCAAAGGCAATAGTGCGTGAAGCGGCTTATGCCGATTGCGACTTGAGTATCGTTGAGTTTGGAATCGATGAATTTGAAAAGCTGGTTGAACATCCGATTATTTGGGACATAATATTTATATTTGAACTATTTTTTGCGAGAAATTTTTCAATCTATTCATTTTCAATCATTATAGTACAACGAACACCAGAAATAATAAAAATTACATCTAGAGCCGTAAACCACTTAGCTACGACTATAAGAACTAAAGCAAGTCGAAGGCGCACCACCATCATTGTCCATCCCTCGCCATAGTCGGGCAAAACTTGTTCTAGTTGACAGTCGGGAAGTCGTCGTGCTAATGCCTCATAGAACCATCGTACTAGAATAGCAATTGTCGCCGATGAAGAGTAGCGTAGATCGGAAGGATGCAACATGAAAACACACGAACTTAGACGGACTACGACTTGAACCGAGCAAATCCACCATAGGCAGATCGGCCAGAGACACACCTCCACATGCCCACCGACGATGCTAGACGCACCTACAGAATGGGGTCTAGGCGGAGAGAACCTTATTCCAACTTGAGGGAGCCGCCGCCTCGTCTTCCTGATCGGGACACAAACCTAATAAAACTCGAAGAAACATATAAAAATGAAGCCCTCCCGTGGGCAAGGGCACGGATCCAGCACACCCCCATGCCCCTAAGCCAACGGTGACGAGGCGAACAGGCGACGGCGTCGGCGCGAGGTAGTAGAACCCTGTACTTTTTTTAGAAGAGGTGGCCGAACTATTGTTGTACTAGAAATATTTGTAAGTTATTTATATATGAATTGTGATACTTTCTATTATTATTTTGCATGTTTTTTCAACACGGTACAAACGCAAGCGCTCAGGAATGTATTTGTGTCCGTGGACCAGTCCACAGATAAATACCTTGTCCCTTTTAGCCTGAGTTTGTGGGTATTGATATATTTTTTCTATAAACTTGGTCAAGGATGTACTCATTTGACTTTTGAAAAAAATAAATACACCTTATATAAAGGAACTGAGGGAGCAGATGCCATGGCCTTCTCTCGAAAAACAAGGTCACTAGTAAAAGAGAGCATGTCAAGAATTTTCAGATTAGAGTAAAAGTTGTCACGGAGCTCCTGCTAGGAGGTAAAATGTGGAATGTACTCTTGAACAAGTTGTTTTCAAGCATATAGTACTTACAATTGTGCTACGTATTCTGGAGAGAACGGCAATCACTTCCTGGTGGAATGAATATATTCACGGGGTTGCTTCCAGAACACTGCCTCAAGTTGGGCCAGGCCAACCACTACACCAAGAAGCGCATGGCTGGATGGCAACCCGTGCGCCATTGATCGTGCTGGCGACGACCACTTTTGGCACTTGACCTGTTGACTGCTTCCATCTGTGTCAATGCCGTCCACACAACCCATCATCGCCACACACGTGAACGCACACACTTTTTTGTGAGCACTTCTATTTCACATATTTTTTCCTTTGTGCTATTTCTCTATCTATTTTACCGTCAGACGTCAAAGCAGAAGTGTAGTACTTCTTTTGGATGGGAAAGTCAAAGTGGTACTTGCAACCAGGGCGGTGGCAGAAATCACATATCTGACCTCAGGCAGAAATCAAATCACAAACTGACCTGGTTACGAAATTTTTTCACTCTGCTGACCCTTTGGTGTGGCGCCCGACAGCCGGGCGCCGCACCCTACTGTGCAGCGCCCTTCCCTTAGGCGTCGCACCATCCTGCCAGCGTGGCAGCCCTGGTCCAGTTGCGGCCCCACACGCACCTGTGCAGCGCCTAAGAGCTAGGCGCCACACACCTGTAATGTGCAGCGCCTAGCTCTTGGGCGCTGCACAGTCTGTGTTCCACTTGGGCTGGCCCCACTCTCTCTCCCCTCCCACCCCCACCCCACACACCCCCACCCGACCCAAACCCTTAGACTTGCGGCCCTCCTCTCTTCCCCTCTCCCCCCTCTCAAATCCTTCTCAAATCTTGCAAATCCGGAGTATTTGACCGTGGATTTCGAAGCCAACCCCTCCCTTAAGGTAATCTCCTCCGATCCCCTCGTTTTCATCCATAGGAATTGTCACATTTGCTCAAATCTTGCTAGTTTGGGGAAACC